TGTCTTATTTAAAAACTAATATTATGAAGGGAAAAAAATAAGAAATTTAGAGCCTGTTTGAATTTCATTTTTTCTTATGAATGCATTTTGGAATGGTAAATTGATGAAGAATTTGTTGTTGAAAAATAAAGAAAAATTTTGGGTGTGCGTATAATATTATTTTATTGAATAATATATGGTTAAAAAAAGAGAGAGAAAAATGTATTTTTTTTATACGTTTCAACTAAATTTTCACTTATATGCCGTTTGGGAAGAATTTATAAACGATTTAATCTATAAATAAATAGAAATAAAGATTGTCATATTTAACATACTGTATTAAACATGTTATTAGAGTAGAGATATAAAGTGAATTGATTTATTGTAGCTCGACCAAGTTTGTGTATAATTCGGCACATCTAGTTTAGGGTTGGGGTCGATCTAAGCTGAGTTGGCCACCGCACTAATACCTTCTTTTAATTTTTATTGATTTTTTAAGGGATTATTTGACAATGTTTTAGCATAAATATTTAGCTGAAAAATTGATAAAAATTATGAGTCTCACGAAATATGCGATTAAAATTAACGATTGACTTTGACTTTAATTCTTAAGCAATCCCAAACAAGCACCTAAACACAAAAAGGAAAAGCTCGAATGGTGTACTAGACCTTTGCCCACGACTTGGCCGACGTGGGACTTGGGACCATGCCTAGGGTTACGTCCCTATTGGGGCGGTATAGCGCATTATTGCACCCATTCATTAGAGTGCATGAAGTATATTCGTAAAATAACCAACTCCGAAAATAACATCACACAATTTGTTTATCGTATAAAAATAACTCATGTACGAAAAATTATACCATAATTCTTTTTTCACAAGAATTTATAATTATTTAAAAATACAAATATATTACCAATTTCCTATATATTTTCATATAACACATCTTTATTTCTTTACACTTGAATAATAACTAAATTTTATTTCTGCTTCATTATAATATTAATTTGGACTCTGTTTCTTTATACTCAAAATATCAAAAATTAAATAAAAAAAATTTTTTGAAGTAATTATGCATTTGGCATGTAAAGCGTATGTGATATCCAAAATAATGCTGCCCGTATAATCCTTTCTAATAATGAATTTCTTCAATGATTTACAAACTTTGGATTCAAAACTAAGCATCATTAAATTATATTATTCACAGTATTAATAGTAAACTAAAGTGTAACTGTCTTATTTAAAAACTAATATTATGAAGGAAAAAAAATAAGAAATTTAGAGCCTGTTTGAATCCCATTTTTTCTTATGAATGCATTTTGGAATAGTAAATTGATGAAGAATTTGTTGTTGAAAAATAAAGAAAAATTTTGGATGTGCGTATAATATTATTTTATTGAATAATATATGGTTAAAAAAAGAGAGAGAAAAATGTATTTTTTTTATACGTTTCAACTAAATTTTCACTTAGGGTGTGTTTGATAACACCCATTTGCCATGGAAAATGAAAAGAAGTTCTATTTTTCTTGAAATTGGGTTGTTTGATGGCCAACTTTTTCCATGGAAATTGTGCCTTTGATTTTCCACAGACGCGCCTCTTTCTAGGCGTGGAAGGAAAATGTTTTTTC